CTGCTGTTCCCTCCCAAAAAAATGGGATTTGAGGGGGGAAAAAATCCCGGGAATTTGGGGTGGGGGAGGGTTGGGATTGGAGGAAAATTCCCGGGAATTTTTTGGGGGGGGGAGGATCCGAAGGGTCCCGAAATAAAAGATGGAAAAAAAAAATCCCTGGGCTCCGGAATTTGGGATTTTTTGGGTCGAAATTTGGGATTTTTTGGGGTCTGAATTTGGGATTTTTTGGGTTTTTGTTTGGGTTTTTTTGGGGGTTTTTATTTGGGATTTTTGGGTCTGAATTTGGAATTTTTTCTCGTTTTTATTTGGGATTTTTGGGTCGAAATTTGGGATTTTTTTGGGGTTTTTATTTGGGATTTTTGGGTCGAAATTTGGGATTTTTTTGGGGTTTTTATTTGGGATTTTTTGGGTTTTTATTTGGGATTTTTGGGTCGAAATTTGGGGTTTTTTGGGGTCAGAATTTGGGATTTTTTTGGGTTTTTATTTGAGATTTTTGGGGGTTTTTATTTGGGATTTTTGGGTCAAAATTTGGGAATTTTGGGGTCAGAATTTGGGATTTTTTTTGGTTTTTATTTGGGATTTTGGGGGTCTGAGTTTGGGAATTTTTTTGGGTTTTTATTTGAGATTTTTGGGGGTTTTTATTTGGGATTTTTGGGTCGAAAGTTGGGATTTTTTGGGGTCAGAATTTGGGATTTTTTGGGTTTTTATTTGGGATTTTTTGGGTCGAAATTTGGGATTTTTTGGGGTCAGAATTTGGGATTTTTTGGGGTTTTTATTTGAGATTTTTGGGGGGTTTTATTTTGGATTTTTGGGTCAAAATTTGGGAATTTTTGGGGTCTGAATTTGGGATTTTTTTTGGTTTTTATTTGGGAGTTTTTGGGGTCAGAATTTGGGATTTTTTTGGGGTTTTATTTGGGATTTTTGGGTCGAAATTTGGGATTTTTTGGGATTTTATTTGGGATTTTTGGGGTCTGAGTTTGGGATTTTTTTTTATTTTTATTTGGGATTTTTGGGGGTTTTTATTTGGGATTTTTGGGTGGAAATTTGGGATTTTTTGGGGGTTTATTTTGGATTTTTTTTTGTTTTATTTTGGATTTTTTTTGGTTTTATTTTGCAAATTTTTTTTTTGTTTTTATTTTTGATTTTTTTTAGCTTTTATTTGGGATTTTTTTCCTCCCAGAATCCCAAAATTCCCTCCCGGGACCCCCAAAATTTTCCGATTTCTCCCCAAATTTCGCCGCCGGGCTTTAAAACGCGGCTTTGGCCACGCCCACTCCGTCGCTTTGGCCACGCCCACTTGCGCACGCGCCGTTGTGGCCACGCCCATCCACGCGCTCATGGCCACGCCCGCTTCACGTACTCTCGCGTATTGGCCACGCCCACCCAAACCTCTCCTGTGGTGTCACGTGATGCCGGTCACGTGGCGCCCAACATGGCGGCGCCCATGGCGGCGGCGAGCGGCGGCTTCGTGACGCGGCGGCTGCTCCGG